CCATCACACAGTGTTCAAGGCCCCCGTCACACTGTTAGAACTGAAACTCAGCCATGGGATTGTGCCATCTTTGGGATTGGAGTGGGCTACTCATTCCATGTAACAATCCTAAAGATAAAGCTGTGCCAAATCTGCAGAAAAGATCCACAAAGCACTGTTTCATTGTCTCCACAACTTAGTGGGTATTACAAGTGTCAGCATGTCATTTGCGGACATCTTCTTGAACAAGAAGATGCATTTGGAGGTCAAACCATGCCCCAAAATGATTGGCAAGTGTTTTTAAAATGGCATTAAAAGTTGCAGCAAATTCCAGATTATTTATTACTGTAAAAAGTAGTTTGTAAGGGCAGTCAGTGTCACCCTAGTGAAGGTGTATCAGCTGTTTAACTTCTAAGCAAGTTTCATCTTGCTCTAATGCCTGAGCACTATGCAACTAGTGCTGAAACACTGAGGGGATGGTTTTGATCTCAAGAGCTACACAAAAATCAAACAAGCTGCTGCAGGAAGGCAAGATGGGGTGGCATTGCTTTAACTTAAAAGGTTTGTTGAACACTAATTCACAGCTTATTCCTCAGTTTAGTGTTTGGAAACACTGAGGGGGGGAAGTTTGTCTTGCACTAGGAATAAGTCATCTATTAAAGCAAACAAGGAGACTCCCTCACTGACCTGAAGTGCTCCAAGATTATCTTGTTTCTACTCCAATTCAAAAGCTCAAATAGATTCTCCCATGGCAGAAAAGGGTGGGAAGAAAACAGTGATAGTTACACAGGGGTTAAGTCAACATAGACAGTGCTCTAATAAAGCTCACTATTCATATGTACTTTAGTAAGTTTTATTAATAAAAGACTAATGCATCACAATCTCACCAAGATGTTTTAGTTGGTTTTGCTATTGCACTGAAGCTTTCCTTTTCCTGAAGTAAAGCTGCAACAGTGATACACTTCTCCCCGAGGCTAAGCTGCACACCAGTATACGACTGAATGCATTAGCAGTACGTTACTTTGAGTCAGCTCAGCTCAGTTTGTCCATTTAAATGCTTCTGAGCTGAGAGCTGATTTACTCTGTGAACCAGCTCTGGCCCGTAGGAACTTAGGATTGTTTCTTAACTATGATTATAGACAAGTCTAGTATAAGGCATTGAAGATGACTACATGGTATAAACTAGAACACCAGACCTTGTCAGCCAAAAGACCAGTTGTAGCAGTTCCACACCATTAAAATGAATACCTGGAATAATTTCAGAACAAAGAATAAAGTCATGCCCAATTGAATGTTATATCCCTAGTTTTCCCTGTGGCTTGTAAAGGATAGCTTGCAGAGGGGCAGCTGTCTCTACAGGAGAAGACAGTTTCTTAACAAGGTTTCCACCTCACAATGCATTATCTAGTTACACATTTTATTACAAGTAGAATCATTACACAATGAAGTAATAATGCATATTGGAAAAATACATTTTTACAATGACTCCAGACAAATGTTGCAGATAAAATGCCATTGTTCTAAGACTTCCTTTTCTATTTCACAGAGGGTATTAGAAGGTTCAGAGTTATTTTTGTCCCTCATACAAGCTTTGATTTTTCTAGAGATGAGTCTGCTGCAGTACCCAACTCCGCTGGTCTCAGGAAAGAGAGGACTTGCCTATTAACATTTGATCTACAAAAAAAAATCCAGCCTTGGCCTCCCACATTGTTACATGTTAATGTATAAGCACTACAAAGAGTTGTACAAGCCATTTATCTCCAGCACAGGAAGTCATTAAGGCATCTGTCAGCTTTTAGCCAGCATCTTGCTATGCTCTGTTAGTACCTTCAACACTAACATTCTTACTGCACTTGGTGTGAAGTGGTGACTACACCTTTTTCAGATACACAAATTAAAACTCAAGCCAGACTACATTTTGTGTTTGTGTAAGAGTGCTGGATGACTGCAATCAAAAGGAATCCAGTCTAAGAACAAAAAACTACAGTATGAACCACCACAGACTTCCCATGCAGCCCTGAAGTGCCTGAAGCCTGGTTTGACAGCATCACTTCCCAGGGACAAAAGTTATTTTTATATTTACCCTTTTGTTCAATGCTTGGCAGACTTGAGACTCAAGTTAATAGATACCACTTAAAGACAGCAGGGGTAAGAGGGGTGGGGTTTTTGGTCACAACTGTAGTATGCTACAAAAAGGAAGAGCAGTTGTTTATGGAGTTAGAAGTGCGTTGACCACTACTACATTACCAAGTGCCTCCATTCACATTTGTGCCCTGCAGTGGAGCATTGCCAGCAAAACTCCCCAAAAAATCTCAGAGGTCTGAGAGTTCAGACCAATACTAGGCAGAGTGCATAAAGAACCGAGCCTCACCAGTTGTTTGGTGGGGCCAACCTCTTTAGTTGAAGAGCTAGAAGACAGCTAACTTGGGTTTTGGTTCAAGTTGTGAGCTTTCCCCTTTAACTCTGGCAGAAAGCTATTTAGAGTTGGCTGGAAGGAAACTGTCTCAAAGGCACTTTAAAATGATCAGATTTGCTGAATTTAGTTGCTTTTAAAATTTAATGAACACTTCAGGCTGTACATTTAAGGTTACTGATAAGCCTTCCTTTCAGACTTCAGTGAGAAAGCAAGCTGATGCAATATTGGCTGTAAAAAGCAAACTAGGAGCATGACTTATGGTTTCCCAGGGTTTCAGGCAGTTATAATTAATATTATACTTTTAAAAAGAGCAAGTAGCCAGCCTTAAACTTGCCATTCAGTTAAGCTGAACTTAAGATCAACATTTTTCATCATTTAAAAGGTTGCTTATTCTGTTAGAACCGAGCTCCCTGTTCTCTTGCTGCTTTCATCAGAGAAGTCACTGAAAGTGATGTTTAAATGCTTTAGCAATTACATGTTGTGCAGTTTTCCAATTAAGTTGAAGCCTATAGGCTGCGGCCTTGGAAGAACACTCTTCTACCACTATCTTTCAGTATTCTGAGCACACACTTAACCACTCCACAGTACTGCAGCTCCAAACCAAGAAGGAAGTCAACATGTTATCATGGGATACACTACAGTCAAGACTATCACCAAATGCACTTTCTCTCCATCATTATCTTTCACTGCTAGGGCCTTGCAACCAGTGATATTCTGAAACATCAGAAAGCAATGGACTAGAAGTACAATGTTTTCCATCATCTATTTCACCCAAAAAACCAAACTGTAGCTTGCAGTTAAATGCTTCAGACACCATTACTTTCCACCTCATTCACCTAGAATATTATGCCAGAGATGCACCATTTGTATTAGTAACTCTGTTAGAGACCAGTTGTGTTACCCAGGGCATTCTGTTGGAATGTGACCACAGACAACATTAAACATGGAGGCAAATTTGTATTATCATCCATTATTCTTCTCTAGTGTTACAAGGGTGAGATTCCAGTTATGATATATGCATATTGGAAGATCAAAGTGCAGATCAAGTGAGACTTGATGTGAAATTCATTGTGCAAGTGTCAGCAATTACACCCTCTCCCATCCTTGTACAAGTTTGAGAAAAACCTCAAGCAAGTCTCCCATAAAAGCAGCAGTCTGGTTTATCGTCTCATCTTACTCTAAGACTGAGAAGTCACTATTCCAAACAGGGCAATGTGTCACCAACTTGTCCATGCTGTACACTGGAAGTAACAGTCATTAAATAAATAAACACCAGTCCATGGAGTAGAGATGAGGAATGCTGAACTGAGTCTAAACTAGGTTCATCTCTTGGGATGAAAACAGCCTTAACATGGCATGTAGTTTTGCTTAAGTACGCGTTTTTTCCTGACTAAAGTCTTTGCCCAGCAAATCATAGCCTTGTCTATCAGCAAAGTACTTTCCTGTTTACCTGCACATTGTGGTGTTGGACTTTTACAGATTCAGCATGTTTAAGAGAGCACAACCAGCTTAGATTAAAATACTGCAGCTTAATCCAAATGCCTGGTACTGCACTGCCAGTTCAGAATCCTTCCCTCAAGGCCAGAGGCTTAATGTTAATAGGAAGCCTCCAAATACACTCTTGCTGAAAATGGACCCAAACTTACGTCTAGAGGTGCAGCACATTCTACACTGGTAGCGCTACCGACTCTCCTGCAGCAGTTAACCAGGGTCTTTAAACCAAAGGAAAGTGCTACTCTCCCTCATGGGATTCATAATGCACTTCAGCATTTATTGCTGTATTGCGAGTTAAGACTACTTAACCAGTTTTAGTGTTTCTCCATTTAGCATATGCCTAGGCCTTTCAGCACACTCACGTTTCATGAATTGGAAGGACTAGCAACGTAAATATGAAAGTGCAACAAAGTAGACTTTGACAGCTCTAGCAGGTATAAGCAAGAGCATTTACAGGCTAAAACAATCTTGCACTTCTCTTGAACATGCTAATAATGCTAATGAGACATTTACTGAGGAGGCATCAAGATGTGGATCTGCACTTCTGACTGCTTTGCATCAGATGTTGTAAAGCTTTCTGTTGTAAGGCCACAATTCTTGAGCTATGCTTAGAACTACCCCCATTTTTGAAGAGTTTCTTGAAATGAACAGCGGTTTCCACAGCTCAGTCTAGCTTCACAAGAAGTCTTCTCTAGAGAAAGGGAACATTTATCTTTAAGACAAAGCAAAGAAAGATACCTGGTTACCCTGAAACGTAATGCATTCTCTACTGAGCAGCCTGAAAGCCACAGGACTTAACAGAGTTGCTCAGTGCAAAGCACCATGTCAAGGACAGACCTGTTTTATGTCAATTCAAACATCAGCCTAACAATTTTAGCTTCCATACCCCACTGCAACTAGAAGAGGGTCTAAATTCTTTTGTCGCTTGGTTTCAACGATCCACTTGAATTCCTAGTGAAGTCTATCACAGCCCAATACATTTACAGTCATACAACGGTCATTTATACCAGAATATATCATAACAGGGTCCTTAATTAGTTCAGTCTATTGCAGAAGACATGTATAGGCCTTCTCTTCCCTATCCAGAGGGCTTGTAAGCAGAGCTGCTGTCAGGAGCACTGACTGGGAATCCCTTTACTTCCACAGCATACTAGGAGACTCCTCCCAGAGTCAGGACATCAAAGCATATGTTGCAAACTCGAACTGGCTTGTTCAGATCAAATTTTATGATAGGAATCTCCTTTGTTGAGCACTTATGGCAGAGCAGGCGTCCACAGTGTCGGCTGTTGGTAGAAGAGGGGTGGGAGAAAAGTGAATTCACTCACAGTGAACACCAGGGTTGATAGCATTTGATATTCTTTATCAATGATAGTATCACTAAAAAAGTACAGTAGCAACTGAAATGCTACATTTTTCTTGTATCCTCCGATATCTCTCATGAAATAATTCAATGCTAATGCCAAAAAACACATGCTACTTCTGTACTAGTCAGTCACCTAGTACTACTTCAACTGATGCATGTGTAGTTTCTCTGGAACACTGCGCTAAGAGAAAAATCTTAGCTTAACACCCATCTAACCCAGCATATTTTGTAGAAGTTCAGACTAGTTAAGAAAAGGCAACTCATACCAGCATCTTCAGTCATTTCCACATTACAAATAGCACCCGTAACCTAAGCTGGCAGTGGCTGCCCAAATCTGTCACCTGTTTCGGAGCAAGTCAGCCCCACTACTGAAAGCAGGCATCTAAATCCTCTGTTTCACTACTGGAACTTTTACATGATTTCTCACTTCCAACAAATCAGAATATTAAGCGCACAAACTGCTTAAGATATGATTTTAGTCAGACCACAAGTTACTGATCTACGACAGGGTGTAATGTTTCAGCTGGATTACTGGTTATACACCTACGTTACCATGGAAGTTTCCTAAACCACCAGAAGGAACAAGCCTAGCTACATTTGGAAGATGAATCCATTTCCTTGTAAGCACAGCAAGATGTGTCATATTACCAGTGATGCTTTCTTGTCGTGACTCCAAATTTGGCAGTGCATTCATAGCAGTTGGAGCCATCACACCAGGGAGGTTCTTTTGTCAGCATATCTGTTAGAGGCAAAGATGTAAAGGCAAAATGGGCTCAGACACCTCTTGAGTACACTGTAACATTAAGGAGGCGTTTTCCAGTTGCATCCAGTATAATTGATTTAACTACTCTTGCTACTCTTGCAGTAGCTGCAGTCTTGTTTACAGACAATGTATAGTTGCTTTCATCAACTTCACATTATCCACACGACTATACAGCACAAATTAAAAAGCAGTATCTAGGTTTTAAGCTACATTAGCCTACGACACCAGCCAGGAGTCTCCATGTCTATCCTTCCAGAAAAAGTAGTATTTAAGTTTGACAGGTCTGCACTGTGCAACTTTTCAGTTGATCATGTGAAAAATTCATATTTTTATATCCCATTTAAAGTAGTAGAATATTCAGAAGTTCAGCCCCTCTGGAATTACTGTCATTTAAGTCAGATGTCCAGAGTTCTTTCCTCCACCAAAGTATCTCAGAAGCGTAAGCTAAAAAACACTTTCCAACTGTAGCAAGTAGTACTTACCCAGCAGTCTAAAGAGAAGCTGTTTTGTAGCAACTTGGTAGTTGAAGATATTGACTCCTTGATTATTGTTAACTCCAAGACGAGCCCCAGCTCTCACTATGGCACGACACAAGTTAGCATTTCCCTTCATGTAAGCCAACAGGAGCACTGAAAGATAAAAGCCACACACTTCCTTGCTAAGAGTAGTAGGTCTTGTGTTACACTCAGTCCGGAGTAGAATCTTTAGTTCTTTTAAGTTTCTGTATAATGTTTGCACCTTACTGTATTTAACACACTACTGCCAATTATTCGAGCTTTAAAAGGTGACATACCATTAGTACAACTTGAGTAACTTTCATGTTTAATAGTTGTTGAATCTCACCCACCTGTGTTTCCTTCAGCATCAGGTTTGTCTAGAGGGTATTCTGGCATACACTCCAAGAAAAGGTCACAGATGGCTGCTGCATTATCTTTCCCATATTGTCCCAAAATATGCATTGGTGACTGGCCTCTGGGGAAAAGAGTTCGTTGCCCTGATCAAAGTCTGCTTGCTACTACAGTTACTCATCCAACAAGCCTCGTTTTCAAGTTTGGTTCAGACTTAAACAATGCTACACCTAAGTAACTCAGTATATCATACGCAACTGCCTACTTTAACTTCCTTTTCTTGGTATACATAATTTCCACACAATTTAGACACAGCATGCTCTGCACACTTCACTGTAAAATTAGTGTAGAAATACTATAATCCAAGCAAAATCTTTGGGTTTTTTAATCTAGTCATACCAGCACATATTCTAAAATAGATTGTGGTTCTTTTAGTCTGTTAAGACTATTCTAATTACCTAATATTAAAGGCTTCTGCATCTACATTGCACTCTGTGAGGAGGACCCGGATATTGTTTAGACGGCCATGCATCACTGCTAGATGAAGAGCTGAAAAGTAAAAGAGAAGCTTCAAGAATCTGAAGTCGTTAATGTCAGCAAGAATTACAGCCTGACAAAACCAAGCCCTCCCACTTCCCCCCACGTTCCCTCTCCAAAACTCCTTCCACCAGCTTTGATTTCTTGGACTTTCATTCTTCTTCACCTCTGAAGAATGAGCCCATTCTGTGGGCTATCTCTACCACTAGAAGATATCATTAACAGACCTACTGAAGTGTTTACGTCTACTTGTAGAACTTCAGAAGTTTACCATTATTTCCATTTTCATCTACAGCTGCAAAGTCTACTCCATTCTCCAGAAGGACTGAACAAATTGTGGGCAAATCTTGCTGTGCTGCCAAGTGAAGAGCAGTCTGACGATGCTTAGTCAGTTCATTCACCTGGGCACCTGCAAGCAGCTGTCAAGATGCAGAAGGAATATGTTCAAAGATGTTTTCAGGGCTATTAGCCAACAGTTTATTTCTGTGAATAAAGCACACAAGACTCCACTGCACAAAGATACTTCTAGGCCTCCAGCATATATAAAATGCTACCATTACTGAGCTGCTGCAACTTGTGTTCATGTTCAAATCTGCAGAAAGTGCAAGGTAAGGTTCTTCCTTTAAAGTAAGCCACACTACCTAGTGATTGCTGCAAATCAAACGAGCTCATACAAAGGCTACTGATGCAGCCCAACTAACAGTACAAGCTAAGGGAACTTTATGCAAGTCTGAGTTCTGTTTCAGAAAAAGTGGTGTCACCTTCAGCTGACTTCTCCAGCCTAGAGGCAACGTGCATTAAGGAAGAATGTGCATTTTTAATTAGAGGAAAAACAACTCTCCAGTACATACCAGATTACGCACAATGATCTCCGAGCCAGCTTGTACAGCCAGATGGAGCGGTGTTAGTTTGGAGGCATCCTGGACCCGAGAGTTTACATTAGCCTGTACGCTTATCAGGAACAGCACACTCTCAATGTCTGAGTTCTGAACAGCTACATGTAGGAAATTCCGACCTTTATTATCCACCTGTGGCAGAAAGGGCATGCAAAATGAAATCCATTATTTCTGCAGAACAGCAAATTGCTATGCAGAAAGACATATTTTCACCAAGAGATACTGGCTCCCTCTACTTGAGGTGAACTGTAGAGCCTCGTTCCTTTCACTGCTGTACATTAGAGACTTTATTTGATAGTCACATCTATCAAATAAACTGAACTGAGAAATTACCAGCTGCAACTGCTCACTCTAGTCTGCTTCAGACTACTGTATTTCTACTTCATAACCTTGTAATTTCTTGATCACACACTGGAGAGTATTAGGACAGACAAAATATTAACAGCTGTTGTAGTAAGTACTGAGCAGCAGTTAATTATCAACTCAGTTAAATGAAACAAACTTCAGTCAATCTCACAGTTAACACCTGAGAAGGAAGCAACATGCAATCTTGACACACTGATGCAAAGCATATTTAGAACTGGCTGTAATGTAACCATGTTTTAGATATATTACAAGAGCTCACTAAGCACTCAAAACATTTTACTAGTAATTAAACTTACATAGAGTAGGAAGAAACTCCTGAACAGCTGCCTGAAGTGTCACACCAGAAGCCTGAAGATACAGTTGGAGGTTTTATAGTTCAGCAGTGCAGCATGATGTCTATTATTCAGTTATTTTAGGTCAGGGTTTCTATTTTGGATAGCTTTAGGAAAGCTAGGTAATAGATTATTTTCATACTAGTCCAGCACAAGACAAGAGTAGAGTTAAACTTTCTCCTTATACATACACACATATGCCTGTTCCTCAATTTAGTACTGACAAAATGAGCTAAGGTTTGATGAGACACTAACCCTTGATGTTCTTACTCACACATAGCACATACACACCTACAGTTTCCTAATAAATCCTGCTACAGAAAACTAGCACCTGGCAAACGTCATTGCATGTAAAGCCACAAAAGGATAAAGCAGAATTTGCTTGTGGAATACCTGTTACCACAGACTAGTGCAATAAGACAACCAGCATGCTTTGAATACTCCCAGCTTACCTGTTCAGCAGCTCCTGGTTCCCTCTTCAAAATTGCTTCAGCTGCTTTGTTATTTTTATATGTCATAGCACATGCAAAGGGAGTCATTCCTTGCCTGTCACGTACATTTAGCTTAATATCTGGATGTGAAATCATAAGCTGAATGATAACATTATGTTGGTTGCTAATGGCAACATGGATTGGAGTTCTTCCTTCTGCATCCTAGAAGGAAACCAGGAAGTCTGTTATACGAAGACTCAGGAATACGCAAATCCTTCCCTAACCCTGAAAAGTAGAGGAACTTTCCTCAGCCTTTGGCTGGGGCACCAAACAGTTGCTGTGGGAGCTCAAATCCACAGTGTAAGTGAAGCAAATTGGTATTTGTTTCTCCAAATAGGTTGACCTCAATCCTGTGCTATATAGCCATTTAAGCAGCTCAGAGTAACACTTCCCATGTAGTCAAACGTTTTGGGGACAGAGATGAGCATTCAAGACTATAGCCAAGCATTCCAAGAGAATGCTTTCAAACTAATACCAGTTTGAAGTATTTGATGTTAATACTTTATAGTATTAACAATTTGTAGAATTTGATTTTTATCTGAAAGAACAATGTACAGACTACAGTAAACAAACCTGGAGTATCACTTCCATGGATTCAGCACTACAGGTATTTCCCTAGCTTGACTCTCAGGCACTAGTGCTAAGTTTTCTGGAAGCTAAACACTGGGAAGTTCCCTCATTGAAACTATAACAGCATCAGGCATATTTGTTATGCAAACAGTGTACTAAAGTGTAGCAAATTCAAATAAGGTGTTTAATCACTTGTCTGTATCAAGCAGCAGTTTTACAGCCTTGGCTGCTTTGTGACTATGTGTTCTGTCATTCATTTTGATATCACTTGCAATAGCATCATGACCTCAAAACATTACACATTAATTTCTTTTGTTGCTATTTGTCAAGCTTCTGTTTGAGAATTCCTGTGTAATCAAAAATGAAGTGTAACTCACAGTTACATCACCTCAGTTTACTCAGTAACAGAAGACACTTCCCAAACAAAGTACAGCATTCTGTAGTTTTACACTATGGCTGATCTAATTATTAATTGCAGCAGAATACAGCCCTGCTCCTGCCTTTCAATTCACACTAGGGACAGAAGAGTTGAATTCCAATCATTACATCAGAAAATGAACACTGCAAAATGTTTTCTGTATCATCATGTTCCTTCAGTATAGCTTCCTGAATTAATTCATTATACGGGCAGATAAGCACTAGATCTGGTAACAAGGGACAGGAAAGAAAGCAGAACTGCAGCCAATCATCACATTGGCTCAGTCATAATAGAAGGATGTCCTTTTTCCTATCAAGCAAAATACACAGCTTAGAAGGAAGATTGTTTTCACTACATTAGAGGCAAAGAATCAACTTCAAAGAAATTGTGCACAATTTCTCTACATACCTGAGCATTGACATTGGCACCAAACTCCAAAAGGCACTGGATCACCTCTTCTAGTCCCCAGCAGGCTGCCAAGTGTAGGGGTGTCTGTCCATCATGAGCTTCCTCTTCTCCTTCTCCATTCGGGCCTGGCTTTCTGGGACTATTCACATCACAACCACTAAAACAAACACAATACAGTCAATTTATTATGTTTAATGCAGATTTAAACTGTTCCAGATAAGGGTCAGAAAAAAGCTTGCAAGAGCTGATCCAGCAAGTGCTGATGCATTCTACGTAAGCACAAGTTCCTGGTTTTAGTTTGACTCTTGTCATCAAGAACATGATACTAATATAGGTAACAGAACGTGTCTTTAAGATTAGTCAGACTTCCATAAGTGCCATCCACCCACCAAAAGTCTAATGAAGCACATACCTGTTACTGCCTCAACATAGCATTCAGTTAATTTATGCCACAAAAATATGTACATGCACATTAGAAAGTTTGTATTTTAGAAGGGGGTCTGACCTGCGAATAAGAAAGCATGCTATTTGTTCACTGTTTTCATCAATAGCTCTATGAAGAAGAGTTTGCAAGCAGCCACTTGGTCCTGACCCCCAACAGGTTGAATCACAGCCATGCCTAACCTGGAAGGAGAAGCACAATGAAGCAATGAAGTTTTTTTTATGTCTCCAGCAGGCTCCTACTACTTTATACAGTCCTTGACTAATGCTTCTCAAACATTATCCCTTAGAGATAGAATCTGAGATACCTTATCTATTCTTGTGACAGTCATTGTATTTCAGAAAGCTACTTTAATGTCTTCTGGACAAATATTTTATTGGTCCATTATGTAATACTTAATTAGGTAGTGTTTACTAACAAGTCAGATATTCATTCATATACTCTGAATAGAGAGGTCTTAAGCCAGTCTGGGTAACAGTTACCTCACTTTCAGCATGACAAACACCTAAAGCAAGTCGGGTAGCAACAGCAGACACTGCCTTTGGAAGTCTGGCCCATCTACTTGCTTTCCTATGCATTCAGCTAAACAGAGTAGGTTCCCCCTCCCCCCAGGAACTGTATTTCTATTATTTGTATTCTTCTACTACATAACTACTTACTCTAGCAATATGGCACTTAAGACTTGTTCCACTCCACTTTACAAACTATTTACAAAGTTTATACATATATAGTTTCAGTGCTGATTCCATAAAGATTCTTATCCAGTACAGCACAAATGGTCAAGTACAGTTACAAGATGTATTTCTCAGCTCATCAGCACAGCTTTTAAATAGCTGTGTCTAATAGACAATAACTGGATATCAAAGACAAAGCTTTCAAGTAACTCCCTTACAAAGGAGACATAAAGAGGTCTACTTATGCGTCCTAAGAAATCTCCTGCTGGATCACCTATGCCTGAAAGTAAGTAAATATAAGCCTTTAAAGGCCTTCTTGATGTAACTTTATGATGCAATAAAAACAGCGCATACTCTAAAGCATATATATGGGTGTTCAATTTTATTCAGGAAGCCTATCATTACACAAGTCTGGCATGCTACAGACTGATGTTTTTAGTAGATCCTTACTCCTTCCAGAATCAGGAATCCAGATAGCATATTCTACACTTTTATTACAGTGGCTGCAAGGTATTTGGCTATGCAGACTACAGTGTTTATACAAGATTTCCCAAGAAAAATGAACTTCTGGTGAAGAAAAACCTCTAGAAGTTAGATAGTGATATAGAACTACTCTGTTCTTTTCATGCACTGAGTTTGTTTTTGCTGATGAGCCCTTTGTTGCTAGCAAGATGCACAAAAGTGAGACTAAATTAAGTCAACTGACAGTCTTACCAGAGTTGATGCAATGTCTTCCAGGTTATTTTCTAAGGCAAGCCATAAAGGAGGATTTCCTTTCTCATCTGGCACAGACATGTCTGCTCCCCTGGTACAAATAGCATCAACCACAAGAGGGAGCTGGTTTTTTATAGCTAGCTGTAAGGCAGTCTCTCCATCCTGTGTTCTGTAATAGGTACAGTTTGAAGTGTGTTACTACTGCATTATAAAGTTAGGCCTCATGTTACAGTAGTTTATTAGCAAAGCCAAGAATTATCTCCTCATGTGTGTATTTTTGCTGTGGTAAGACCGTATCTCTACAGCCAAGCAAATGCACCATATTAGTTTTTCATCACAGGTATGTAGTTTACCTTTCTCCCCCACCCCACCCCCCACTTTAGTAGCAAGTGATTGATTTCTGAAGTTTGAAAAGCATGTTAGTGTTCTTAGCTTAGAGATGCTGTCATTTCCTTAAGTGTAGCCATTATTTGAACAGAGTTCCTTCAGAGCAAGCCTACTGCCACAGAAGTGAACAGCTTTGTCTGCACTGTGGTAACACTTCAAGCAACAGTCAGAAATACCAACTATTAAAAAACCCTGCAGTTAGAACAGCAGTATTAGGCAGTTTGTACCCATGACATTCATTACAGTATAGCTCACCAAATTTCAAAGACAGCCTGTCAGTCACGTAAGCAGATAAATGTTTTGTTCAGTCTAATATCAACTTGTCTAGGAGATAGTCAGGAGGCAAGTTCTATCAGAATCTTGTTGCTGGAGCTACATCTAATTAGTTTAGATGGTAGAAAACATGGAGCTACATCTGATTAAGAAAACATGCAGCTCCAACAAGCTGGCAAATAGACAAGACTACAGAAGTTCAGTACCATATCTCTAGGACTTGAGAGTCTGTTAGAGCAGATTCTGTTCTACCCAGAATTAAGTGGCACCTCCCTCTGCAGTCTCAAGAGGAGGTACTGACCAATGGAGCTATCTGTAGGTCCAAGTTCACATAGGTAATTCCTCAGCCATAATAGTGCCACAAAAAGCACCAAATGCATAACTATGCACAAATCATGATTTGAAAACAACTTCAAGCCATTATATAAAGGCAATCATCACTACCCGCTCCTAAATACATATCCAGTTGAGTTGTGTTTCAGTTCTTACCTGACATTTATATCTGCCTGATGTTCCAGCAGAAAGAGTGCACTCTTACTGTCTTGTCTCTGTATTGCTGTATGTAGTAGAGTCTGTCCGTCTGACATTGTGTCATTGATGGACGCCCCAGATCCAAGCAGCTGAGCCGCTATTGTGTGCATGCCTAGAGAGTTAAAGCTCATTAGTATTCTACCTTCAGTTCTATAAAAGACACACTGAAGATCAAAAGATTAATAAAGCTTCAGCCTTTCAATTTTCAGTAGTTACAGTAAGAGATGCACTGAATCAATGGTAGAGCCTATTAAACTTTATGTACACAAGCTAAACCAACTCGGGACTCTACCCAGCTTCAATATTCATTTACAGACTTACTGAATATTGATTACTGAGTCCTTTTAGTTTTGCTTAAAGACAGAAGATGTGGTCTGGTATACAGCAGAGCTTTCCCATTAGTTCTGCCAACCTAAATGTAGAGTCCTCCTTAACCATACCTACCCTAATCCTTTGTATCACTTTAGACTTTTCTCCAAAAAACATATTAACTTTGGTCTTACATTCATAAGCTATTCCCTTGAATGTATTAGAAGTATAGCTTAGTTCCTCCTCCTTTATCTTGGAAGCAGATAAGGGCAACGGTAGAGAGAAAGCTACATTTTGGTTTCCTTTCACTGGAAAGGAAAGCAAAAAGTGTGGACAGTAAAGATGTTTGTTACATATGGATGACACCTAGCACTCATGTACAGAGCAACATCACTAAGCATTCTGCCTCATCTCTTAAGTCCAGAGTATGAGTAGTCATCCCCCATACAGCTGCTATTTCCAGCTCAGTAGGACCATACTTAAATTAATTCACTAGTGACCACACCACCTCTTTTCTTTTGACAGTGTCCTGATACTGTTCAAAAGTCACTTGGCTGCAGACAAAAATATCTAGTTTTCCCCAAACCACTCCCTTCCACATCAGATAAGAAAGCATCTTCTTAATCAGTATTTCAAGATCCATTCCCCTTAATAGCTTCTTAAAGTAGCTCACCTTCCCTTTGTAAAGGCCAGCATTACTGTATTAACTAGCATCTAAAACAGAGTTAACCATGAACAGACAACATGGTGATCTGATATGAAAACCACCAGGGAGTTCACAGTGGAACAACTCCACAGAACTGCAAGTACAGTTGTGGGCAAGAGGCTCCAGGCTACCTGCTAATGAACAAAGGAAGCTGTAGGGCTAGAAATCTATCAGTAAGTCAGATGTGAACACTCAGTATGAGAAGCTGAAGAATCATCTAAAACTCTCCTTGACAGCTTCTCACTAGCAGCACAAGCCAGGACATGAACACACACCTGCTGATTTGTCTTTTAAAAAAAAAAAATTCAAAAACCTTATCCACATCATAGCTCCCTGTCCTGGTTTAACCCCAGCCAGCAACTAAGCACCACACAGCCACTCACTCCCCCTGCCCTGGGTGGGATGTGGGAGAGAATCAGAAGAATAAAAGTGAGAACACTCGTGGGTTGAGATAAGAACAGTTTACTAATTGAAATAAAGTAATAGAGTAATAATAATATACAAAGCAAGTGATGCATGATGCAGTTGCCCACCACCCACCAATCGATGCCCAGCCAGTCCCCGAGCAGCAATTGCTGCCCCCGAGCCAACTCCCCACAGCTTATACACTGAGCATGACGTCATATGGTATGGAACAGCCCTTTGGCCAGTTTGGGTCAAGTATCCCGGCTGTGCCCCCTCCCAGCTTCTTGCTGGTAGGGTAATGAGAAGCTGAAAAGTCCTTGACTAGCATAAGCACTGCTTAGCAACACCTGAAACATCAGTGTGTTATCAGCATTATTCTCATATATTCACATATCTTTGTAAATTCTCATCTTGTTTTGAAGGCACATACCTGTCCAAAGAGCCAATCCCAGCACAGTCTGATCTCTTGAGTCCTTTAGACTGAAGTCAGGAATAATTTGCAAGTTGTTGGTAGCATGAAGAGCATTAGCTAGAAAAACAGCATAAGGAATTAGAGCATTCTTGTACTTGACATGCAGTCACACATTGAAAGCTGCAGGAGTAGCAATGTCACGTTTTGAAGTGGGCTGTTCCTTTAGCAGTTAGTTTGAAATATCTGAGCACAGTACCCTCGGTTTCCCAGATGTGATATTGCTTAGGATTCAGGTAGTATTGCCACTACCACCTAATTTTAATACTTAAACTAAAAAAAAATTTCAACTTTCTAGCTAAGATACTTAACCTACCCCCTTTCTACCTCCATTTCCAAATAGAGTGGCATATAAAGTTCTAAGAATGAAGAGTGGAGGCTGTACTGCAAGGTGGTGGCAGCATCCCTCCTTCTCAGCTCCCTGGGATGGAGGATATTCTCCCCAATTCATCTACTCCCTCTAAATGCCACTTATGGTAGGAGACAAAAATAGGCCTTGCTTCAGCTGTCAAACTCCTATCCTGCTGCTAGAAAGGAGAAGCTGAACGAGTAGCATTTAATAAACGGTCATATGCCAGTATTTCAGTACTCAAATCTCAACTCTACTACAATACTAGCATTACCCTGTACAAAATCTTCTTACTGAAAGAGTTGAGGGAGGAAGAAGTCTCACCACAGAAAGATGCCTTTATCCATATTTGATTCCAGCATTTACCCGAACCAAATGCTTTGACGGGAAAAAACAGTGGGATCTCAGTTGCACAGCTAGAACACAACCTGGGGCTAAGTGTTCAAGTCTATTATCTACAGTGGAGAATTTAGCAAGATTTATGGGCAAATTAATTTTGCTAGTCTTAACAAGCAGGTGATTTGAGTTTAAGACTACGTTTAGACAGTCTTATTAATTGCTCTACTTAAACAATATTTACAGGAAGACATGCTTTATTAGTAGCTTGTCAAAACACAGTTTAGATGCCATCTTGACACACTGATCCACTACAGCATCAATACAGTCTGAACCAGAAAAAAAAACTACCTTTTTGTTCCAGGATGACTGACACCACATCTGGGTGATTGTAAGCAATAGCCATGTGAAGGGGAGTTTGCAGATAAACATTCTCTGCTGCTGGAGAAGATGCATCCTTCTGACCAAGCACTGCTTCTGCTGTCTGGATGTTTGGATTGGCTCCTTGTTGAAGAAGTTCTGCTGTCAGGTTTGCTAGGCCATGCCTACAGGCTGTATGCAGTGGTGTTTCTCCCTTTCATAAACAGAGTACTAGGTTAAGAGCTTGAGACGTGAAACCCAGAAGAGAAGTAGCTTTTAAATTACTATGCCCACAAGAATTGTTATGAAGATCTTGTTCTCCTAGTAGCTGAAGCTCCTTAGGACTTTCAAACTACAGAAGTTAGCCTATATTAAGGACTTTATTACAACAGGCACCGAAGGAAGTGTTAAAAGCATGTTAACAACAGGTGATGCTGTGAGAAGAGTGCCATGAGAATGCAACAGTTGTCTGATCGCTAATAAACATCTGAAAACATGCAAAAGGCTCAGCAGACATTCCAACTTGCTTTAAGCTACGGTTAGCAACGAGAGATCTCTGCTTCTGATGAGAAATAAAGAAAACTTTCAGACTACAGGCTAAGTTTTTGCTTTTACCCATTTGTTTTGGTGGTTGACTTTTGCTCCATGAGTTGCTAGGAAGAGAGAAGCTGCCTCATTTCCTGCACCAGCTGCCCTCTGAAGCAAGCAGTTTCCTAAAGAAAAACCATGAAGACTGTTAGAGTGCTATTCCAACCACATTTTGATACTAACAAGTGTGCCAGCACCTTCCCCACTACCTTACAGCATTAAAATTTGAAGCCAACAAGGAAAATCCTACCTACTAGTAGTCCCCTTGCAATGCTGGGCTGTCACATGCACTACCATTTAGCAATTACACATTTTGAAACTGCAAAGAGGATGTTAGGACTGGGCAAGGAGTCCAGATTTTCTGTCACTTCCTGCCAGTCAAGCTCAGCTTGGGACCTGTCAGTGTTTCAACTCTGGGTAAAGCTACTACCACCCACCATTTATTATGCAGCAAATGCTGTTTAAACCTCGCTCAGCTCCTCAGAGTGCAGTTAGCATTAAGCAATTAACTTACAAGCCTTCCACTGTCACAGAAATACAAACCTCTTTTTTACCTGTTACTGTGTCTGGAGCATCTGTATTGCTGCCTCGTTGGATCAGCCTTGCTGCAAAACTGTTCTCATCAAATGAGGTTCCATTTACAACAGGGGCATCCTCAAAAGGGTTTACAGACTGATCAGACGATACAGTGATATACTGAACTGCAAGCCACAGAGCTGTGCTTCCTTCATGATCCTTCAGCTCCAAGTCTAGTCTAAAAATAAGAGTTATGTTCCCCAATTTATACCTTAAGAAGTGGTCCCCAATGCAGCTTAAGTTTCAAGTGTCTGAACAGCTGTACTAGTTTATCTAATACCTCAATGACAACTTTTGCTTGCCAAGAAGCCTACTGTAGTGCCAGTTACTTCAGATAATTTGTGACTACTCCGACACAAGCAAGACACCTCTTAGTGACTACTAGATTTAAGCTCATTGCTCCTAGAAGTGTAGCCCTGGTAGATTTGGGCTCCCACTAAACGTAACAAAGAGGCAAATCGTCTTGTATTTGGCTATACAACTGTATACAAGAACTGCAGATTCAACTACAAAGAAATGAGTCAAATGAAGTATTCTGCTTCATCACCTTAAGAAGTCACCTGTATTAGCTTTAAGCAGCACCCAAATTGATCTCAAGAACGTATTCAGACATTTTAAGAGTCTTATGACTCCTTTTGGCTCCACTACAAATGAACTTACCGCTTCATTATTTCACCTAGCCCCCTTTGAAAAAAAAAAAAAAAACCAAGAGGCAGTTTGATTCCTCTTTACAGTAGGGGAGAAACTTTACTTGGCTTCTGGCATTGTTCTGGCATCTTAAGTTATGCCAAGCCTTTACACTTTTACATCCCAAGCCTATTGCTAGCCTTATAATGAGGCAAAAAGGTATAGAAGAGTTGTTAGACCAGTTTTCATACCTTCACTGTACAAGGTAACCTCAATGTATTTTACATTTAGGTGAGACTTACTGTTTGCACTGGAGAAGCTGACTGAATACAGGTTCATTCCTGACCACAATTGACACATGTAATGGGGTCCTGCAATTGGAGCAACATACAGTTACATTAGTAATAAGTGAGATGCTTAAGATTTTGTCCACGGTCACCAACATGTCCTACAGATTTATGGGGTGAACTTTTGTCTCTGCTTTTAGGAGAAGGGCACAAGCACATCTTGAAAGAAAGAACAATCTACTCTTTTAGTGGACATGATTCCAATTAATTCAGTAGTAAGCAACTCTTTACACTAATGTAAGAGCTAACCTTCAAGGAAAAAAGCAGAAGAGCTTGACCTATCAGAACTGAGTAGCTGATATACTCCAAATCTTCTATATCATTTTATGTACTTGTTTGCCAGCCCAACCTAACCTGTAAAGCAGTTTACAGGCCCTACACTTCAGATAAACACACTGCAGATACTGGCTCTTTGAGATAATTTCAGTTTCATGGACAACTTCAAAGAGAAGTACCTTTCAGGCATACTATTTGTCATCTTAGTTTGCTTGCTTTACTGTCCAGTGATTCAATAAAGCCAAGTTAATTGTGCACCATGTGTTCCAACACAATCAACTCACCTCAGCCTTCTATAGCTAGGCTTAGTCATGACAGGGTACTACTCAGCCTGTGCAGCTTTCCACTCTGAGTGCTACCCACAGGTCTCAAACCGGATTAATGAATTCACCTTTCCTGCTTCCACTATCACCTGTGCTTTGCTGACAGACCTGAGCAGGCTCTTAATGGGCTGCATCTAATCACTACAGTATTATCTGTTAAACTGGCAACAGGCTTTCCTTCACCCATTATTTACCTTCCTTTGTTGTCTTGCATATTTGGATTGGCTCCTGCCTGTAAGAGGGACTCTGCTATCTGTGCCATCTCTGCCATGACATCTGGCAAATGCTTCTTGGGGCTGTATGATGCCACAAGGTGCAGAGGAGTCTCCTGGTCTCCCAGTGTAGCAGCATTCACACGGGCACCATTTTTAATGAGAAAGTTTGCAGCAAATTTATCTCCTTTTGTGAAACAAAATAAGGTTATTTATGGATATACTGGAACACTATATACTTTATACAAGTCCAGAAAATGGGTACACATGATTTCCCTCTATACCATACAGTCATTCCAATACAACTGTCCACTCTTAGAATGCCTTAGCAATAGATAACTTCAAGAACACTTCATTGCAAAGTCAGGATTAAAATATTTCATAACAACCCCGTGGAAAAAGTGTTTTGCCCAGAGGTTACGTGCAACCCAAATTCATACACTAGTTTACTTGCCATGGTGATAGTGAGTTTGCTAGTTCCTCTATCAAGACAAATCCATTGCTGTTTTAATGCACAACTGGACAAATTGTGAGACTAAACATACAAGTAGTTTTTGAAGAAAAGGTATTACTCCAGGGCATCAGTCAAAAGTGTGTAGTTCAAGTTAGTCATCATCTGTTCAGTACTGCTACATAAACAAGCAAAGCCACAGCCTTTGCTCTTGAAAGTTTAAGCCCCATTATATATAGGGTAAGGGCTTCCACAGTTAGGACCCACCATATACAGCATTCCTAAGAACTCCCTCTTGAGAGCTTCTCAGAAGTCAGAACTTAGGCCCACTTCAGTACATGAAACCTTGGACTTGAAACACCAAGATGCAGAGAATGACTTCAGGGTAATACTAATTCCCCTGACTCCAGAGACTACTTTGAATAGACATATTCACAAGTTGCTTGTCCTGAATGCAAGACTGGAGAACAAAGACAACTGTTCACCTGTATAAGTAATATAATTGCTGCATTATCTCTGCCAGCAAAAACCAAAATCCCATTTTCTGATTCTCATATCTGACATTCCCCCACTCTCCAGTTATCATAAGAAATAAGAATAATCATGTGGATGTGGCAAGTTCAGACAATTTGCTTTAGCTCCATTTCCAGAATGTGTGATTGTTAACAGCGATTAATTCACTGAAGCTTTGGTTACTGAGAAGCAAGCATTCACTCTCAGAGCTCTAGCTTAGACTGAAAGCAGACATTAGAACTAGAGGACAAATCCTAGTATTAAGTATGAAGAACAGCCTGCTGCAATCTTTCTAGTGCTTTGTAGGGCTGCAGCCATCATAACACTGACCTACACCTAGAAGGTCTCCTACTTCTGCTGCTGAGGTTTCATTCACAGGATCAGACACCAGCATTACCCTGTTTAGATACGTAGGAGATTAAAGGAAGAAGACGGGAGCTGCATTTTGAGCTCACAAAGCTTAAACTACTTTTAAGAGTCCAAAAGAGCTTGCTGTTAAAAATAAGCTTATACTTTTAATTTGTAGCACTACAATACCCATGAGGTCCAGTCACAAGTAAGGTTCCTGTTGTGCTTGGCTTTCTGGAACAGAGCTGCCAAAGATATCATTGCAGACAACTAGTAGCATGAGGCACTCGCTACAGATTTTCTACCAGACTTTGGCCATAGGCCAAGATGCTGCTGCTCCAAAGCTTTCAGAGTACTGTGGCCACAGCAACCAGGTCCTATTGTGCTCCAGGTCTCATAAGATGCATTTTCCACTTTAGAGTGGAGAACAGCTCAAGATAATCATGTAGTTGTACTCAGACTCCACTCTGATAACTATGCTGCTATTCACCAGAGCTTTGAAGATATTCAGACGGCACAGAAACACTGCTGCCTGCTCCTCATCTTCCTCCAGCCAGTTTTTCCTCCCCTAAAACAGCTATCCAGTAACAAGGACCCTTGCTGTTAACTGTAATCGTAAAGAAGCATATGCGGCATTCAACCCTGGTCTAGAAAAAGGCTTCATCGTTATTTGTGACTAGACTGTCATGCTCAATTCAACTATTTGTCAGAAGGACACTGTGTTGTCAAATTAGAATATTCTCAGTATCTCCCTACATTTCTTCCTTTAGCAGACAATACTCTACTAGATTGCTTCCGGATGTCATGGAATATAAGTTTAGCTCACCAGCCAGCAGGCTATCTTTCAGATCCCAAATAAGAGTTGTTTTTAAGTTTAAAAAAAGAAATAGGACAAAGTTCATCCTTGACTACAGTTTTCCAGTTGAAGTGTCAACTACAAAGTGACACAGGAATAGACTTTGGAATATATATTCCACACTGTGAACAACTGCAAGTTAACAAGGCTTCATATCCTATTTACTTACCTCTTTGGATGGCTTTATGTAATAGACTCCAGCCTTTCTTGTCTGCCCTATCTACATCAGCCTTGTGGTTGACCAGTGTAGTTGCAATACTCTCCAGTCTTTGGGCAAGGGCTAGATCCAAAGCAAGATCTCCATTGTGATCCAATTCATTGAGCTTCCCAGGAAGCTACAACACAAATTCAGTCAATTGACATTAGTTAGAGGTATGCTCACCAGCCCAATATAATATTTTAACAGCCTCTTCCAACTGCCGCAATGTTAGACCTTAAGCAAAATGCTAGTGTTGCATTTAGGTAAGTGCATCTTACACAAGAAAACAATCAGACTAGCATCACCACATGCAAGTCCACCCAGAAGGCCGTTCAATGAGAAAACAGGATTTCTGTTTGCAAGCCTTGTTTAACTCACAGGAAGCATGACTAGTACGCTCTTAGAAGATGCTGCCTATATAGGCATATTCAACATAGTACTAGGAAGAATTATTCAATTATTCCTTTAAGATACCTTGAATCCCAATTGGATTAGCACCTAAGGGTGCTAAGTACTACTACAGTCCCAGCTTCCAACTAGGACTTGAGGCCTCTTAAAGGACTAGTTGAATAATTCATAATAATTAATACTTGAATGCTGCTTCTGTCCCCCTTGTTGGGGGACTACTTATTTGCTAGTTTTTTTAGAGTGTTCATCCAAAAAGAACAAATACCTGTTACTTCAAACATTCAACAGAAGAGGAAAAGCGTTTGTTCAAAAGAAATGATGCTTACTGAACTGCCATAAAGCAGCAAAGTTGACTATTATACCATTCAACTTTAAATGTGCATAGCAGTATCAAGTATTGGATTTTATTAGATACAATCTGTTGCACGCAAGATGTTTTCAGAAGTGATTCATAACACTTGTAATTATGTCTTTATGGAGCCTTTACTGCTAGAACTCCATTACATACATAGAAGTAGCTATGGCAATGATAAACATGTAAATAAGAATTAGTGACAAAAATCAGTAACAAGGTTCAGACCGGTAATTAGAAACTAGTTATTTGAAACGCTAAATTCTAGAAGACAGATCAAGTCAGTCTCACTATACCTGTGAATCCATTTCAATAAGATACAAAAAGACTACATCTTCTCTCTCAACTTTAATAGCCTTATGCAAAGGATATTCTGTCTTCGACTTGAACATTTTATACAGTAACTGAGCACTCATGCTACTGAAGTCTTCTTTACGCAAGTCATCCTAGAAGCAATAAAAAAAGAAAAGGGTACACAGTTGTCCTATTTTATTTATTAACAAGGCATTGCACAACGTAATCATGAAGTTCACAAAACAAGTTCAGTTAAAAGCTCCATTTTGATAACATCACAACAAGCAGGAATAATCCAAGCTAGCCTTTTAAGACTAGGAAGAAACACTCAGGAAGTTTTACATCTTAAATTTTAGTTTCAAGATCAGTTAGTGAAATTTTTCTTTCCTTTTGTCTACAGACACAGAAAACTAGCATTTTACCAGACATTACAGTAGATTATCATCTAGTCTCTAAACTAATTTTCTATTTGGACTTAAATCACAGATCAGATTTTTCTGACAAAAAGGCCTACAACTATTGAAGATTGACAACTCCACAGAAAACTTTGAAAAACTCTGAATAAAAGTAAACAGAAACTTAAAAGTATAAAGACCTTATGTTTGAGTTAGGGCTCATTTGACCAAACAGAAACAACCTCATTTCCAGATAAAACCCAGTATAAAAAGTTGGGAGCCAGAAGCAGGAAAAAGTTAAAATGGCTGACCTGCAGGTTCAGACACAAGAATCTTTTTTATATATTCACATATCAAAGCACTTCCCTCTGCTTTGGCATTAGCCAAACAAAGAAATATCCAGATCTGGATGATGCATTTTAGATTTAGAATAACCTAAATCCTCACATACTAGTCTGCTGTTGACAAGTCTTATTTTAAAGGCTAATCCATTACACAGTTAACCTCAAAACAACAGATCAGAGCACATGGAACTTCCAAGTCAGTTGCAAGACTCCTTGCCCCTCCCTCCATTACTGAAGATAAACTCTTCCCTGGACTATTTTTAGAAGTAAAAGCAGGCCTGGGATTTGTGAGCCCTATAGATAGAGACCAACTGTGGATGAACTTCTAAACAGTTCAAAGTCCAGATTTGATAAACAACCCTCTTTGGTTTGGGTCATGTTTAGGAAAGTAAGACGCTTTTTACAGGGCAGTATTTCCAATGAACAGAACAACCCTTCAGGCTGTAAGCTACTTCCCCCCCAGTCAAAACATTCACACCAAGACAGACAACAGACATAGAATCATAGAATCATTTAGGTTGGAAAAGACCTTTAAGATCATCCAGTCCAACCATTAACCTAACACTACCAAGTCCACCACTAAACCAATTAAGGGTAGAGTAGCAATTTCGTGTTTCCTGGCTTGGTGGCTGGATTATTTTTAATGAAAGTAAAAACTAGGAATCGTTAAGGTTGGAAAGGATCGCTAAGATCATCAGTCCAACCATCAACCCAACACCACCATGTCCACTAAACCATGTCCCAAAGTGCCACGTCAAGACAACAACAACAACAAAAAAATCTTACAGAAGGAGCCATTTAGCATGCTTTGTTTCAAATATAATTATGAATTAGTAAAGAATACCAAATAACACATAGCATCAAAAGCACATATTATAAAGATAACTGAGACAGATGGTGTCCTGGGAGAAGTCACTCCTGCCTCAGAAGCAGCCCCTTCACTCACACCAGGGGACAGGGCAGGCAGATTTGACAGCTTTTTACCAACACTGTTGCTCCTTGCAAACATATAAGGGTCAGCAGAATAGGTCACCTTAGTCACTGAAAGTTATAAGCAATCCCAACTGGAATGCTTGAATGCTAGCATACCAAGAGATACTCCTGAGGTTAGTCAGTACAGTAAGTTAAGCAAAATCCTACTGATTAAGTTCCTATCCTCTGCAAACATTTTTTTTCTCTTTCTTCCTCCTGACAGTACTTACCCAGTGACTAGCAATTATCTCAGCACAATAGTTCAGAAGAGTGCTAGCATTCAGCTCCTCAGCTGTCTGATAGAAACGAATGCAGTTCCTGACGTTAACTAGTGACATAACTCCTTTTTCACATCTGTCAAAATAGGAAAGCCAGTGTTCAGTAATCAGGAAACAGCTTTACTGTAATTACTCTCCCATGCTGTAACAGGGTCCCGTAGACTTGTTTTCTTCGATGCCAGGAGAAAGTGGTTTGGCCTTGCTTTACTATAAGGCTAAGCAGCATAAGCATACTTTAACCAGAAGCCCTGCTATTATGAAAACTGTCTTACAGAGTGCCATGTACTGCTACAGCCCCAGACACCCCTTGGGCAAAATATTATTGTATCAAAGCGTACTTTATTTTTTACTAAATTCAAGGCTTCGAAGTTTGTACAAAACTTGAAGAGGTTCCAATTTGTACATTCAGGCTTCTCACTAAGTCTAAATGGTTATTCAGAGCACTCCATAAATTCAAGATAACAACTTATTCCCTACTAGAATGGTGTAATCATTATCTCCTTAAAATGGCAAAGCATTGTACTGCTACATTAGCCTTCTTTTTATAAAGAACAGTTGCCACCAAGATGCACAGAAGAACAGCTATTCAAATTAAAAATTTTCCACCTGTGGTATTTTAATACTGCAAGCTACTTGCCATTGACTCTTCCTAGCATTCTCTTTAACAATTCCTTCCTTGCAACTCTCCAGAGCTTGTTACAAATACATTGATATCTACTTCCTCTTAATGCCAAATTAGGGTTATTAGTTTGACTGGGAGAGGAACTGGGAAGCAAACATAAAAGCTATGAGAAAAACTGCTACAGTTTAACTGTAGTGCAAGGCTTCACTTCCTGTGATCAACTGAATGTCATGCTGTATTACTGAAAACCTCAAGACTTTGAAAAAGCACAGTTTTATCCAATTGCCAGCAGCTACCATCTTATTTCTGTTCAAACAAGGCTGAAGAGTTCAAGAAGATTCACTGTATTTACCAAGACTCACCTTTCCCTAAGCAGGTGGAGCTGAAATTTATTAGCTAGTTTCATGAGCTCTGTCAAGAAGATATCATCTTCTCTTAGCTCAAGTTCATCTGTGTAGATCCACCGCAGCATTGCTGTGGTTACCTCTGGGTCAGCATCTGGTACAATGAGCAACAGGGATTAATACAATAGCCAAAAAAACAATCGCCTGTTCAAGTAGTTGCTATTCCTCTGACTGTTAAAGTCACAGCTACCATGAAAAAAAGATAGCCTCCTTGAAACTGCACTGCTTTAGTTCAATCAAAATGCCAAAACAGAGGTAAAACTGGTCAGAAGTTGAAACTAGTAACAATGCTGGTACCAAGCAGGAAAACCTTTTTTCCCTTGGAACACTGTGCAGAATGCAGGGAGCCCTGTAACATCTCCTACTTGCTACACAAATATTGCATATTTAGGGGGCAGTGATGGCCCTTTAAAGTCTTTGGTCCCTCACATACAGCTAAATCCACATCTACATTTGACAAGCACAAGTCCCCTTTTGGTTTAAGAATCCTCCCTCTTTTATATTATAGCCCTATGTTATGAACTCTTCTAAGAAAGGTACTCACACTTTGGTAATGACTACAGAGTACTTAAAACTGCTGGGAACCATTTCCAGGAAAGGTGCAAAAGAATCAGTTTAAGAAGCTGGTTAGATTCCAGGTGTTTACAACATTGATCACAAACCTGATGTTTTTATGCAGCAAGACAAATAGAAGCCTACACCAGAGGACATGAGATACACAAGCCCAATGGCCAGGGGCCTTTGTCACCTAGTCAGAAGTATAGTGATAATCCTACTTACAAGGAAGCAGAAAGAATTACTCAACAACATAAGATCAGACCAATTACAACAAAAATACCATTAATTTAGAAAAATAACTTTAGCCCCTTAAGCCGTTTTGTTTGTCTTTAAAATAAAAGCATGCACGTTTAAGACTGAAATACCCATCCTAAAATATCTCCTTTACATGGAGGGTTGTCCCAGATTATTTGCAGAGTACCAGACAGTACTTGGCACAGCATGTAGACTGCCTCCTAAGACACAGAAGGTTTTAGTAAGGCCTTGGCAGAGATCAGAGTTCATTTTCTCCCTCCCAACAAGAGACCCTGTGTTAATCTCTTTCTACTCTTCTTAAAGAGTAGAAAATTCTGCAGGTCACATGAACTCTAAAACCACTCAATTTTAAGTGCTGCCTGTATTTTGAAGTTAGAGTTCAGGCAATCTTAGCTTGCAAGTTCTTAAGAGAACCTCTTAAGAAAGCCATGACAGTTTTTAGGGAACAGCTTGTTGCTTTCTACAACTACTTCATAACTTAATCCTTGTGCCATTTACCAAAATTTACAAAAAATGCAATTTTACACAATGGAAAGTATCATTTACTAGCACTTATTTTAAGCATCATTCTATAATAAGAAGTGTTTACATTATTAAACATGCAAGACTGCTGTTACAATTGAGATTCTCACACTAGTTTAAAACTGGAGCTAGAAATGCTATGGACTGCCACTTGCAACAAAATTACAATTAACATAAGAGCTTTTTGAATAATCTTCTGTTAGCAAGCACTCAATTTAAAGACTACTTGGCATCTGTTTTCTTGTGGCTGCAGAAAGATGCATAAATCCTTCTGCAAGAAAGCCTATGCTGTCTCATAAAACTAGCCTGTTGTGACTTGCTTCTTTCCAGTTTGTCTGCACTTAGGATTCATGATAAGATTAAGTGCAGAAAGTGAAGCCAACGCTTAATATTCCACATGCCAGCCAGCAAACCTGCTTAGCTTCATGCCTGTTTTTATTGCTCACAAATTAATTGTATAAGACTCTTCTGTACTGTTAAGTACAGAAGAAAAGCCTGTCAAGAGGTTCAATCTGCAGAAACACTGCCCAGTGTAAGGACATGCAAGAAACAGCTACAGCAGAACAAAACACTGTCTTGTAGAAGATTGTCTTTTAGAAAACTTCTCTTCTTCATCTATTTTGCAAAGGTATCAAAGTGCCAAACCAAATAACTTTTTAATAACACATCAGTATTTGTATTCATTTCCCACACACACTATGTTAACAAGGAGCAAGGTATTTCCATGACACACTTCAGAGAAATTATGCACACTACCTCAAACAGCCCTGTCCTTAGAAAGGAAGAAGTCAAGCTCCTCCATATAGATTTGTTTTTCATTATGTTTAGTTGACTCTAGAAAAGACAAACAGGCCACCATTCTCAACCCCTGTTCATTAAAGAGAAAGAAGGTAGGTTATTGATTTAACTAGCACTAGCACCAAGTTCACAAGCGTACTACCACGTTTCAGAGACAGACCTCCATAATTAATGGATTAAGCACCACTTTTGGTGGACAGTGGTAGTGTGAAAGGTACATAAGGAACCTTTTCCCAACAGGCCCTTTCATCAGTCATCCTAAAGACAATCTAAGCATCATACTACTAAGCAATGACTGACCTGATAGATCCAGCTCCTCTGTGGAGGCAAGGTTGGCAAGACTCCAAGTATCACTGCGTGCCGCCAAGACAAATTTGTGAGCACTGATGTGCTTGTCCCCAACCTTTATCTTCAGATCACTGATAAGAGAAAAAAAACCACATACATGTATAATGCAGGCTTCCCCTGTGCTTAGATACATATGGATTCAGTATCTCCATAATATCTATGTCCTGGTATCCACATTTAGGCTCAAGTTGTTCAAGACATCAAAATACATTTAATTTGTTAAGTAGAACATGTTGCCAAATGAGACACAATTCTTATTTTTCTAAGCAGAAATTCACTGACACATTAATATTTAAAGGGTTGGGTTTTGGGGGTTTTTTGGTTTGGGTTTGTTTTTTTTTTTAAACTATTTTGGAATCGTCTATTGTAGAAGATAGGAAAATCCAACAATCTTGAGGTTAAATACTTACGTTGCACTGTCCATACTAATACTGTCAGCTAAGCACCAATGATTTCAGGCAAGACCAGCAAGAGAACAAACAATGTTTGACAGTAGTCTGAGTACAAGGCAGACTCCAAGAATCCCCAGTGCCCAGGAGACCAGCTGTCAAGAACACTTTGATTTCATTCTGACCCCTTTAACACCAGGTTATCCTTTGTATTTAGAAAGTACCTGCCCTGTTATTTTAAAATCCCGTAGCTTATAAATGTTCTGACTGTGTAGGTGTATTTTCCAGACCATTTTCTAAATCAAAGCACTGCTATAAACTGAAGCGCAAAATACAGAGATGTTACTTAACAAAACTTGCATTAGGACTTGCCTCCTTTCTCCTTTTATAACTAGATCACTATTCTATGCCTTTAAAACTCAAAAGCTGAACAGAATTGAAGTCATCCAGCTCTTCTGACATATGCTACCTAACAAATCTTTTACCAGCATGCTGTAAGTTTTTAGTTCTTGCCAGGCACAGAGCCTTTTCTCAGGGAGGCTCATGAAGAGATGTTAGGGGAAGGAAAATTTTAGTCAAAACTATATTTTTTCCCCCTTACATGACTGAACTCCTTTACTACATTGGCACTGCTTTCAGTAATAGCAAAGAAATTGATACCTGCCATTGTAGTCTTGGAACTAAGTCAGTTAAGGGGTCTAGGGTATTGAAGGTGATCCTTAACGTGCCTATGGAAGAGAAACCATTAAACCTAATTCTGTGTTGAGATTCAAAGATACAATATCATTTATACCACTAAGTCACATATATCACTGTCTAAGACCTGTTACATCATGCAACTAGATAAGCCAATTTAACCAGGCTTTTCTTACAGACAACAGGAGTACAGAACTGGTTTCAAGGATGTGTCCTTTCAAGAAAGGAGGGCCTTCCAGTTGGTAGAATATACATTGTGTAACTGATCCATCAACTAGGTATAGATCAGTTTGAAATTACTTCTGTTCAAAGGGAGCTTTGCTGTTAACAGTGAAAACGATCAGTTTTCTTTAAACTTGTCTTAAATGTCAGTCTCGGAGCTCTTGATTCAAGAATTGGATTCAGTATGCTACCTGATCTTAGCGTGCTCTTCCAACTGCAACTGAGGACCCTATTCATACCAGGCAGTAGAGAAAGAATTTTCCTTGTCTAAGACTAGTACCTACTGCACTCAATGAAGTCAAAGGTTTCTGTAATGCTCCTTTCCCCAAAAGGGTATTTCTTACCTGTACTGCTCCTGCTGATAGAGTTCAGCTACAATGGCAAGAAGTCGACTGATGAAGGTGTCGCTGGCATTGTCTTGGTTAGCCTGGGCAGCCAGAAGATTGCATCTCCTTTCTGTATCAGCTAGTTTCTTCTGCAGCTTTACATACTCCTGGCGGAGAAGCATCAGGTGCTTTTCCAGCTTGGCCACCTCCTCTGTAGAGGCACACAGTGTTGCTACAAGGTTGAAACATGCACACCTTTGTTTTGCATCTGAGGGTAACTTAACCCTACAAGCACATTACACGTCTAGTTCACAGAACACTCCAGTAAGAGTCTCTCCTCTTCCACACTACTTGAGCATCTCACCTCCAATATTAAACCTTTTATTTTGTATCATTGCTAGCCATAAACACATCAAAAAATCATCAGAACATAGTGACAGAAGCCACTTACAAAGAAAGTTCCTGAATCCTGTCCAGTCAGGAATGCCATAAGCTTTCTAAAACCACGGGAGTCCATGGCTGTGGAAACTGCGGTGAGACAGAGGACTAACTCTTTGGTTCTTACCCATTTTTTCAGTTTAGTTAAGATGCTGTTTGACTTTACAGTTGAGGCATCAATCACAAGTGAGCATCAGAACAGTTGCTGGTGTACCATAATCTACCTCAGAGTACTTAACTGACCTGTTTAGAACTCCTCACACTGTCAGCAAAGAAAGTCCTTAAGAAATGGCCTGAGGGGAAAGCAGATTCTCTCCAGAACCTGTGTTTTAAAGGCCAGTCAAAAATATATAAAACACTACTTACTACTGGTGCACACACATTCCTACACTGGAGGCACTGCACTGACAAGGCATCACTACACAGAGTTGGGTCCATGGTGGCTATTTGAATTCAGGAGTAGCACAGCAACAGCACCTGGGAATCTGATCCCTGATCAAGTATTTCCATCCCATTGCAGAACCTGCTTTTCCACCACACTTAAATGGTCACTCCACAACATGTTGTGGTAAGTTAGTTCACTAAACTCAACCCAGGCCACCTGTATGAAAAAACCTCTACTTCACTGCTGGAAGGAAACATCTGTACAGGTGCTTAAAAACAGTCCAGCTTATGAATACTTATTTATAGATTAGTTGCACAAGCAATATGTAGCCATCATCGCACTTAATTGATTATTCCCTCCCACCCCCTCATTAAGTTGATTTTCCAAATAATGTACAAACCCAAAACCACTCCTAAAATGAGAGGAGGCAGGGAGGAGAAATTTGGAAGCTAACCAATGATTTTAAGTGGGAAAGTTCCTACAAGATTCCTCCCTACCAGCCAGGAATTCATTCTTCAACAATTTTTCTCAAATATTTACTAAATGTAAGTCACTACTACAAACAATGAGAAACTGAGCTCTATTGACCAGTGTTTTCTTCTTGCTTCTGTAGAAAAGTTCAACAGCATAGCTGACCTTGGCCTTGCTCCAACACAGGTCCCCAGGGCAGAGTATCCTTCTCTAGCCCAGCTGCAGACAGAATGCCTCATTTAGTCTTTTCTCTATGGACTGCTGCAGCAAATGCTCCCTAGTAAGTCTTTTAACTTAACAACTACTGTACTGGATAAACAGAAGGTAATTTACCCTATTTTACTCTTCAGTTAATACTACTTAAGGAGGTTTGGCAGTGTACTTCCTTCAACAGTCTTTTATTTAGCTTCATCTTTTAAAAGTTAATAGATATCATCTCCTTTGGGACACTTTCCTTATTCTATTGAAATATACTATGATTCCAGAATTGTGCTACCAATACCACACCAACCCTCAAAGAGGGCTTGAAATTCTGCTTTGGTCTTTCTTTCTATCTAAAGATAAATGCAGTTTCAGTGTTCCCAGAACTAGAAGGACATGTCTCTTGAGGAACGGCTCCTTCACAACTCATTCATAAGGAAGGTGTCAAGGGTGGCACGAAGCAAGCCCTACTGTTACGCAGGGAGAGCAAAAGTCTGGTCGGAGCCAAGAGTGGTCACTGAAAGACACTTTGAGAACTGCACCAAAAATTAGTGTATGAATGCCACCACCGTTCATACAGTGAGATTTTTAGGTGCCATACAAATTCAAATGCTAGGAATAAGAGGTTGCCTTCTGAACATCATAGCATGTATCATCTTCAAGAAATACTGCATCCTCCAGTCAAGCAATGAGAGTAAAAGTGGGAATAAAGAATCAGTACCAGAAGGTAACATCTCAAATACTGTCATTTTACCAAAGTCAGTTCACTGGCTCCAAATTACTCTGAAGTCAACAGCACACAATGCAGAACTACCTTAAAACCTCAAACAGCGGTAACTTAAGCTTGATGCATAACCAACAATCAAGCTTTTTACAGCTGCTTCAAGGGCAATCCAAGACAATCACTACTGGCAGTAAAAGTACCTCAAAGAACTGGAGCTTTGAGAAATCTTGTTTTCAGATTGACAGCATACGCCTCCTGTAACCTCAGTGAGAGGGACTGATACGTATTCGCTTACCGTACGAATTTCAAGAGTTGTAAAGTAAGAGTTTCTCTTATTCTACACAAGAATATGCACACTGGTTGTGTAGTAGTTGCTACTGCACACTTGCAGACAATATTTGACCTTACAGCACATTTCAGGTGCATATTCAAGCCATGAACCCAGGACACCTGGGTTCCGCAGAGAGGTGCGCACAAAGCGACTCCTTTTCTGAGCTCATAGTCCAGCTATAGAGTTAACAGATGGCTAGACAAGAAAATAAAAGCAGTGTTTGTTAACGAATTTCTGGCAGCTGGACTAGCATCTCATGAACTGGCAGAAGTTTATGTTCCATATCAAAGACTTTAAAGAGGACTCCAGAAAAGACTACTGTCATTTTCTTACAGGGGAAGGCACAAAAGTACTCAAGAGCAACTAGATAGCTGAATCCAAAGAGATAAGTAGGGAGGCAACAAGCAGTGGGGTGACCAATAGCATGTACCAAAAACTAAAGGGGAGGCGTAGTGGAACCCATTACGCTGCCCATCCCACCCATCAAGAACAGTCACAGAAGCAATATGCATAAGCTTTTATTTATTTATAAGGTGGACCCGAGTGAATTATTTCACAAAAATATCTTATTTCCTTACCCCTCAAGTCAGGTCCTTCATCCACTGCTCCACACTCCGACCCCTGTCTCCCCAAGGCTGCGCAATTTACTGCTTTCCTGTTCCTCCTCATTTTTGCACACTTACGATCTTTACCCTGACAACCATCCCTGTACTACAGCACACTTCCTGCTGCTCTAGACTCAAACACTAATCCAACATATTTTACCCATGCCTGCATGTAACCTAGTATCCTCTGGTATCGGTGGTACAGAGCTCTTACAGAAATTACAAAAGCAAGCTCAGCTCTTGTCTTTATAAACTGTTCAATCCATTTGTAGCTAGTAATTGCAATAAATCTAATTCAGGACTTCTGCACACAGAAGCAACACTTCCATAAGAAAAAGCACGCAGCTTCTGAGCAGATGACCACAGTCTGACGAGCTCCCTTCCTTAATAAGCCTTCACTTTTCAGCTCACTCTCCAATACCATCAGTTCTTAACTAGAAAAGTGTTGCTGCAGACAGGTACTTTGTTTGAAGGGACAAATCATAAGGAATTGAGTGGGGAGAGCTACAACTCCAGCTTATTATTCCTGTTCATACAGGATCACTCATTGGTCTTCTTTAGCCAGAAGATCAGAGAATTACTTGTATCAGGGAAGAATCTTTGAGAAGTACAGACATCTGAAACAGGACTTGCATCAACTGCACGTTCATTCTGCAGAGCAGGACCCTGAACCAGAGCCTGAGATCCTTAAGGATCTCAGTGGGGAAAGTTTCACCACCTGACGGTATCTTTGACACCCATCAGAACTTGGTCCTCCAGGCTTAAAAGCAAGCCTAAGAGGCTGGTCAGCTGAATATGAAGCAGTGGTATTGCAGCACACAAAGTTAGGAGTTGCTCTAAGGATTTATTAAACAAGCTTGCCTGCAGCATCTTCTTGGCTGATGCACGTCAGAAGATCAGCATCTGCTACATGTTAGTTAATCTTCCACAAGTGGTTTTAAAACTCTGCCATTGTCCGAGAGTTGCACTTCAATGAATGCTGTGCTTTTAAAACTGGAAGCTGGAGCCTTCATTTCCTTTGTAATTTGGGGCACTTCAGCTCAGTTTGCCGACTCAGTTTCCTCCAGGGAGGAAAAGAGGAAGCTTCTGCCTTGCAGAAAAGAGTAGGACTGCAAAGATCCAAGTGTTTTTTTCAAATCCCATTACCTCAGTTAAATTAAATTTGAAATGGTGTAATTGATAGCCTCCAAGCAAAACACAAGCAGTCTAGCAGTTCTGCAGATCTCATCAGAGCCCAAATTTGACAAAAGGACTCCCAGCAGCAAGCGACCAGGAGGCTGCAGCACAGGCTCTCCGCCCTACTCCGAGAAAAGCCGCCGCCC